CCTCTCTGACCCCTACCAAAACGTAACAATGAGCTTTTATGATTATTAAATCTCAACCTAAATGCCGTAACCGTGTTCCCGACGTACTGTAGATGGCATGTCTTACAAGTTATCAAATAAATCACCCCTTCCGAATCACAATCAAAGGCATGATTTATGTGATAAACTTTACCCGTTGAAAAGCTACTAAATTTAGACCCCAAGATAATATAATTACACACTTGACAGCGCTTCTTACCACACTTAGACACGCCTCTATCCGAAGTTTCAATACTACGTAACTTAGACCTGACCAGATGATCTTTAAGGTTCCTCGGTCTACGAAAACTTAACAGTGGTTTTTCAGGTAAAACCTTAAAAAAATGCGATGACATCTCAACTATACCCTGCATTTCCAAAAGTTTAATTTTTGAACACCGCGATGTGGTGAATTGAAGCTATATACAGGGTGTATCAAAAAAAATGTCCCAAATGTAAAATTTCCATTTTTCAGGATATTTCGCAGAATTTGGCAATTTTTTGTGTTCCTAGAGATAGTTAAGACTTATCTGGTATACCTAGGCCAAGTTTGGTTTTTCATTAACAAAATTATGTTACCGGGGGGGTGGTTCCTTTCCACTGATATTGAGAGGGCTTGCGCGCGAAAATGTGAAGCTGAAATTGAGATATTATTTAGCTGTCTAAAAGTAGGAAAGCTTTTTAATAAACTGTCAAAGTTTCAGGAAAAATAATGCAAACTGGGAGCAACGCGCGACCCCTAAAAGTGACAAATATTTCATTGCGCGCAGTGGATTAAATGCATCGTTGATTTTAGCGTGACCGATCTCATACAAGGCTGGGCAAATGAATAAATTAAAGCAAGAAACTGAACAAGAAGACAAAGCGATTTAATAACAAGATTTTTATTCTTGATGTCAATCCTCAACATTTCTACCATTTCTTTCTAAGCAAACTGCGGCTCGTCTGAGCATAGTAAACACTGAACGGCGAACCACATTTGTCTGGCCTGCCTCAAATTATCCATTTCGTTCGAAATTTTTTCTTGCAAATCGCCTTCGCTACCACCGGCAAATCTAGGCGAATTGACAGACAAATGGTTCGCTGTTCAGTGTTTAGTATGCTCAGACAAGCCACATTTTGCTTAGAATGAAATGGTGGACATGCTGAGGATTAAAATCACGAATAAATCGCTTTGTTTTTGTGTTCAGTTTCTCGCTTTAATTTATTCATTTGCCCACCTTGTATGAGATCGGTCACGCTAAAATCAACGATGCATTTAATCCACTGCGCGCAATGAAATATTTGTCACCTTTAGGCGTCGCGCGTTGCTCCCAGTATGCATTATTTTTCCCGAAACTTTGACAGTTTATTAAAAAGCTTTCCTACTTTTAGACAGCTAAATAATATCTCAATTTCAGCTTCACATTTTCGCGCGCAAGCCCTCTCAATATCAGTGGAAAGGAACCACCCCCCCGGTAACATCATTTTGTTAATGAAAAACCAAACATGGCCTAGGTATACCAGATAAGTCTTAACTATCCCTAGGAACAGAAAAATTTGCCAAATTCTGCAAAATATCCTGAAAAACGGAATTTTTACATTTGGGACATTTTTTTTTGATACACCCTGTATATATATATATATATATATATATATAATATATATAATAATATATATAATATATATATATATATATATATATATAGGAAAAGTATATAGGCACCAAACAAAACGATGCAGCCCCCAGTAGAAGGATCCACCATCGGGATACAATTTCCGCTTCTTAACTTATTAGAAGATAGGAATATAGGTATCATAAAAGCAGACAACTTCTCACTGCTCCATTTATTTATTTAAGACGTTTCGGACTTCGTCCTTCTTCAGTAAAATTATAGGAGTGACAACTATATCTACAAGAGAGGCCACTATTTATAAATAGGAATCCTAATAAATTTAAATAATAACAAACATGCATAATTACTTATTATATCTAATCCGCCGTTTAGAGCGGTATTCACACCTTTTATTAAGTCCATTAGGTATCAAAGTGCAAAGCTGAGCGGCCCAATAAGCCTCCCTAATTAAAAGCGTATCCTCAGTACTGTTCCTAACTTGTTCAATAATAATAAATTCGAAATCACTTAAGTTATGAGGTGCATTGTTAAAATGTATGGCAACTTCGCACGTGTTTTTGCCGGTTCTCATGGCTGACTAGTGATTCCGAAATCTAACTTTAATGTCCGTTGAAGTGGAACCTACATACTGAAGTTGGCATTTCTTGCAAGCAGCTAGATAGATAACATTAGTAGAGGTACAACTTAGGGCTTGCTTAATTCTATAAAATCGCCCTGCGGCAAAGCTGCGAAATCTATCTCCTTAATTAAAAGTCCTTCTACGGAATGTATTGTAGAAGCTGTACAAATTTGTTTGGAAAGTAATAATTGTCAATTTGGGTCTTTAAATTTCTTACAACAGCATGGCACGGCTATGGGCCCAAAAAATGCTTGTAGTTATGCGGATTTGGCAATGGGTGTCATTGACGAGAAAGCCAAATTTGGGGGTGCCATTAAACCTAAGTTGTGGTGGCGTTACCGTGATGATGTTTTTGATTTATGGACTCAGGGAGAGGCCAGGCTTCTTGAATTTACGGAATATATAAATTCTCTATATCCTACCATTAAATTTGAGTTAGTTTATTCTAAGGAATTTCTTAATGTTTTGGATCTTACGCTACACCTCCAAAATGGGTATATTGTCACTGACATTTATTCCAAACCTACCGATAGTCATAAAGATTTACCTTTTGACAGCTCGCACCCATATCATTGCAAAAAAGCTATACCTTATGGGGTTGCGTTGAGGGTGAAACGTAATTGTTCCACTAAGGAATTCATAGAGAAGGCATGCTCGCAATATAAAACTTATCTTAAACAGCAAAAATATGATCCTAAGCTGGTTGACGAGCAATTTGATAAAGCCATGAAGAGAGATAGATTGGAAGTTCTTAAGCCGACCAAATGTAAAGTTAAGAAGAAAACGTTCCCTTTGGTGCTGGAATATAACCCCAGGTTGCCCAACGTTGGCAATATTATTCGGACTCATTTACATCTTATTTACTCGTCTGATAAAGTAAAAGATCTATTTCCTGAGGGCTCAATTCTTCCAGCATTTAAGAGAACGAAGAATTTGAAGGATATGCTAGCTCCATCTAGACTTAAAGGTGGTTCTAATGCTGCTGAGGCCGTGCATAATAACGTGGGTTGCTATAAATGTAACAGGAGGTGTGATCTATGTGCTAATTTTCTTGCAGAAGGAGATAGATTTCGCAGCTTTGCCGCAGGGCGATTTTATAGAATTAAGCAAGCCCTGAGTTGTACCTCTACTAATGTTATCTATCTAGCTTCTTGTAAGAAATGCCAACTTCAGTATGTAGGTTCCACTTCATCGGAATTTAAAGTTAGATTTCGGAATCACAAGTCAGCCATGAAAACCGGCAAAAACACGTGCGAGGTTGCCATACATTTTAACAATGCACCTCATAACTTAAGTGATTTCGAATTTATTATTATTGAACAAGTTAGGAACAGTAGTGAGGATACGCTTTTAATTAGGGAGGCTTATTGGGCCGCTCAGCTTTGCACTTTGATACCTAATGGACTTAATAAAAGGTGTGAATACCGCTCTAAACGGCGGATTAGATATAATAAGTATATGCATGTTTGTTATTATTTAAATTTATTGGGATTCCTATTTATAAATAGTGGCCTCTCTTGTAGATATAGTTGTCACTCCTATAATTTTACTGAAGAAGGACGAAGTCCGAAACGTCTTAAATAAATAAATGGAGCAGTGAGAAGTTGTCTGCTTTTTATTATAGCTATATTCCTATCTTATATATATATATATATATATATATATATATATATATATATATATTTTATAATATATATATATAAATATATATATATATTTATATTTATTCATTTACATAATTCTTAAAAAATTGGCATCGCTACTCTGAGTTTCATGCCACAGAGGCAATCATCAGGCGACTAAATTTCAGTTCGTTACAAGTTTGATGACGTGCGACTTTCTTGTTGACGAACTGAAATTTAGTCGCCTGATGATTGCCTCTGTGGCATGAAACTCAGAGTAGCGATGCCAATTTTTTAAGAATTATGTAAATGAATAAATATATATTGCTCTATTTGCTTGCAGTATTGAGCACTCTTTTATCTCATACGAAGAATTTCTTAATAATTGTTTATATATATTTATATATATATATATATACACCCGTTTGCAAAAACGTTGGCCGCAGATAGATATATAGGTAGATACTCGAAATCTAATTAGCATTGCATATGTTGTGTAATATGATTGAAATCCCATGCAAATGTAATCATATGCAATTCTAATTAGACTACGAGTATCTATCTATCTATCTATCTGCGGCCAACGTTTTTGCAAATTGGTGTATATATATATATATATATATATATATATATATATATATATATATATATATAATATATATAATATATATATATATATACTGTCGTTGTCAAAAAGGTTGTCCTGAGCAAGTATATGTATATATCGATCACGTGACATTATTATGCATCAACACGCGTGGGATTGTACAAGCGTGTTAATTGCGAGTTCGAGTATAGCAAGGTGAACGATTAGAAAATGCCAAGACCATATTCGGATGATTTAAGCTGGAGAATGGTTTATCAACGACTGTTCTACGAAAGAATCATCGACGAAATTGCAGCACAGCTATTTGTTTGTTCAAAAACCGTCTATCGTACTCTCAGCACCTTTTGGAACACGGGTGATGTGAAGCCTTTCCGTATGGGTCGCCCAACAGCGAGCGTATCTTTATTCCCACACGAAGAATATATTATCATGGACTGTTTACTGCGAACGCCGCAAATATAGTTGAATGAGATAGCAAGCTATATCATTAATGCTACTGGCTCTGCATTTGGCCCGGTGACACTGTGCCGAGCTCTCTATAGGCTTGGAATAACACGCAAGAAGGTACGAACATTATGACATTATTTAAGTTGGAATATATACTTAATACCGCACGCTGGAAATCATATAACTATATTAATAAGACGCAAGCCATTCCACCTTTTTCCAATTTATTACAAGATCCTAGTTGTTCTTTAGCAACTCTTCAAGCCAGATTTTCTTTTTCAGATACAGAGAATTGCTCTTCAGCGAAGAAACGATATTGGGCTACAATTCATGGCCGAAATCAGCCTTTTTGACCCAAACCTGCTCGTTTTCCTCGATGAAACAGGCATTGTATGTACTAAATAATACCTTACTGTAACTGGATTGCACAAACTAGTAGATCTTTTATTTATTTGGTTCTACGTTTTAAGGATAAACGAATTGCTCGGCAATATGGATAACTTAGTGCTCGTGGGATACCGCCTGTTGTGAGCGACTATAGCTATGCACGGTGGACACTCGCTATCCCATTATTTCGGCAATATCGTGTGATGGACTTCTTGCGAACTGCATGTTTGTTAAGAATCCTGAAGAAAGATTCCTGAAGAAAGATTTGAAACACGCTCCTTTATCCATTTTATTGATGAACAGCTTTTACCAGCTATGAATCGATTTGATGGGGAAAACCCGCGATCCGTTCTCGTTATATGGTTGAGATTTGAATATAATTAATGCAAATTCGTTGTTCTAACATATGTCTCAAGGGACGACTGAATTTGTGATCATGTTTTGATCTATTAATATCTGTTTAAACAAAACTTGTTGATGCACAAAGATGCAACTGCTGAAACTAGTAATATATGCATATTTGTTAACAGATAACCACCCAACACATCACAGTCCTGATTTGCATCCTATATTGAAGAGGTTTACATATAGCTTGCTATCTCATTCAACTATATTTGCGGCGTTCGCAGTAAACAGTCCATGATAATATTTCTTCGTGTGGGAATAAAGATACGCTCGCTGTTGGGCGACCCATACGGAAAGGCTTCACATCACCCGTGTTCCAAAAGGTGCTGAGAGTACGATAGACGGTTTTTGAACAAACAAATAGCTGTGCTGCAATTTCGTCCATGATTGTTTCGTAGAACAGTCGTTGATAAACCATTCTCCAGCTTAAATCATCCGAATATGGTCTTGGCATTTTCTAATCGTTCACCTTGCTATACTCGAACTCGCAATTAACACGCTTGTACAATCCCACGCGTGTTGATGCATAATAATATCACGTGATCGATATATACATATACTTGCTCAGGACAACCTTTTTGACAACGACAGTATATATATATATATATTATTATATTATATATTATATATTATATATATATATATTATATATATTATATATATATATATATTATATATTATATATATATATAACAACTGTAAGAGTTAAGACCCAATTTTTACATGTAGACAATGATTTAGAAATAATCATATGTCATATTATGATCCATTACTCTATTATACCTGTAAATCAAACATTGTTTTCCAGCTAATAAAATGATATGATTGTTCCGATTTTATTTTAAAGATGGAGGCCAATTCATCCCTCCAGTTCTTGAAGAATTGCAGGACATTATCCAGAGCTGTTATACGCTTGTCTTCAAGAGACATGAGTGGTTCTGTGTCATTGAAACAATTCCATAATGTCTCACAATTTAAAATAAATTTCTGAGTGGATTCTGTGGTTTCATTTTCATATGTTGCCATGTCCTTTCGCACTTTTGAATTTAAAACTTTCACTGCTAACTTAACTCGGATTTTGCTCAAGCTATCTAAATGAACATGCGAAGACCTAATGTCTGTTGAAAATAGATGTCTTTGTTTGTCTCGCAAATATACAGAATAAATATGTTCCCACAAAATATTTCTCGAACTCAACAACAAGCACCTAGTGTATCTTGACGAGATTTCCTTGCAGCCACTCTTATAAATATTGTTACGGAGCTTCTTGATTAGGTGGGGAGGATCAGACATGAAGAACAAAGGTAGGTTAGTATGTAGATTATTAGTGTGGCTGACTGTCGCACTACATCCATTCAGTTCCATAAATGCACGGTTTTCTGACGCCCCATCACAACAAGGAACAAGGACTTTGAAGTCGTAAGAATTAAGTAAACCAACTCCTTCCCAAAATATTTTGTTCAAGTCACGTGCTGAGATTCCATTAGTCAAGAAATATGAACAAGAGAATTGAAAACCACTAAACATACTTTTGAAGTAGAATTGCAACACATGTGTTGCCAGGCTTGTTTGAACTGATGACGTTGTTTCGTTGGCATCTGAAGTATCAATTTAATCAACATCAAGGTCAGTGAAACCGATCAACTCCCGAGATGATGGGTCAAAGAGTAAACCTTCTTTTATTTTCACCTCATCAAAAAACAGACCACCAAACTTTCCACATTCTGAAATTCCCTGTTTTTTGAAACTTTCCCTCATTGCATTTATTACTGAATCTTGCTATCCAGATTTTGACGAGCAATAATTCTTGTAGTCAGAAAGAGTTCTGCCACTTAGAAGTTTCAAAAATCCAGATGCACGAAAATCATCATAAATTGAGTAGGACTTTAAATAAACACGAAGACACCACTTCAAGACTAAAAGATGCCCCCTCATTTGTCTTGAAGGCATATTCAATGCTTTGGCTTGGTTTTTTAAGAGCGTTAGGAAAAATGCATCTGATTCATATCCTGTATGTTCCGTTACATGAGATTTGAGAAGTTTCTTTTTGCAAAACATTTTGTGACAGCCAAGCCACCTGCACTGATATCTCCTGTTGATTCGTCTGACATTGATGGTATATGAGCAGTACTTATATATTTCTGGAGTAATTCTGTTGTTTCAAACTTGTGTTCTACTTGCAAACAGTCCTCCCAGTAACAAACATTAGATTCCAGTTTCTCTATACGCTTACTTATACCTTCATACAACTGTTTAAAAATAGATCTGAAATCTGAATCAGTGCTGTGCCCCACTGTGCTCATTTCTTGCTGATACTGTTCCAAGCGTCTTAATTTCACCTGCATCTGATGGATTTTGGCTGCCATTTCTCTACTGTTTTCAACAAGTCTTTCTTTTGACATATAGTCAAACCAAGTATGTTTGGATTGATGGTTATTGTTATTTTGACTCCTGGTCTTAAGTGTTCTCATGTAGTTGTCAATTCGCATACACTCATTGCAGCATATCTCTCTCCTGAGAAAAGAACATTTTGCTGATCTTATACACTTCTTCTCAGCACACATGGGCATGGTTTCGACAAATGCACCGGGGTCACCACTATTTATCTTAAAAACTGGAGAAGTATTATCTTCAGGCAGAAGATTCGTATACTTTTCTGCCAAAATTCCAGAACAAATGTTCAGTTTTCTAAGTGATGTCATACAAGCAAGTATAATTCATCTTTACAATGTATTGCTTGTGGTATGCCCTCAATGGCATCTAAAGATATTATAAATATTTCATATAAAATGTCAACTGGGGTAATATTGTCAACCATATAATATAGGTGGACTTCTGACTTATCAACATCCGGAACAACTTTCCACTTGGGAAACTTTCTTTCCACACTGCATCTTATCTCATCAATCTTATATGCAAGACTTTGTGATCTTTCATTTTCTGCTAAGCTCTGGAGGCATTCTAACTCCAAATCATTTTTTGAATCATCAAAACATTGAATGTCACCTGAGTTCAGAAATAAACTAACTAGGGTTTGCTAGTGCTTTAAAACAATTCTGTCAATGTAATTGGAGTAAAATTTTCATCTAAGGGATCCATTGAATTTTCCAAGACCCTTGCTTAAATTATTATTTGATCTATAGAAAAAGGTTTGGATGTGTTTGCATTTAAAATAGACACCATACACCTTGTAAACCCCAAAAGATATTCCAGCAAATTCCTCTGGCGAACAGCGAGCTAAGTTATTTCCAGGAGGTACTGAAACTTTCAGTAAAGCGTACATCAAAAGTTCTTCGGGTTGCAATGAAATTTTGCCACAATATTGTATTGACGTTGGCTCCGCATTGGCCATAAAGCTTTCAAAGTCAGCACATGGCTGCAATCTTTCGTTGGCAGTAATTCCGTCTGACATAGCTGAACTAGCCGCTTCACTATCGATTGAAACTTTAGCTCTCTTATTGTTAGGTGAAGGAAGTTGCTCACTAACTCGTTTTTTACAATAAGTGTCGCGCATTTTCAATTTGTTTCAAAAGTTGACTCCCAATTTTTTGAAGTAAGAAAAAACTACAAACAAGATTACAAGAACCGTTGCCTTCAATCGCAAGAGACATTACGCGAGACAAGTTTAAAATCTTCATTCGTTCTGTACACGTTCGAAAGAATACAAGCAACATCGAATTTCAAGTGATAAGTGATTTTCTCAAATAAATTTCAAGAATTGCTCAACTCCAATTTGCGTTTTCCAAACGACTTTTGATTATATATAGTCTCGACTTATTAGTCACAGAATTTCGTAGTTTGGACTAATTTTTTTAACTCATTGCGCTCTGGATATGTCCAAGCAAATGAAACGTTAATGAAATATAGCCATAGGGCAAAATGCATCTGTAGCTTACAGCTACTTGAACTAAATGCTATAAAAAGCTTATAAAATTATTGATATAGTAGCAATGAACAGTAACATACACGAAATACAATTTTTGTTTACTTTTCTTGCTGGGAAATGACTGCAAAGACGGCAGAATTTAATCCCCTAAAATAACAACTTGTTTGTAAGATAACAAGATTGTTTTGGAAACAATATTTTTTAAAACAACGAAATAAAAATTTTGACATACCTGAATATCGAAGTATGGACGACTTCATAAAATGTTTAAATGTTATCGTGAAAGTCTCCCTCCATCGAAGTCACCAAATACACGAGTCATTAACCTCATTACATTTTTCAAATTTCAACCATGGATATATGCGAAACACACTTTCATACAATGCAATAGTTACTATTTCGTCGTTATAATGTAAAAACATCCCGAAAAAATCCAATTAATGAAATAAACAGAGAAATACAACGCCAAGAACAACCGACGCTCCTTGGCAAAATTATTTAACTTTTGGCGAAATGAGCGCCCGTGCCAGTCCATTTCCGCTTCACACATCGATCGGCGCGCAATGAGCGCGTTTCACCGCCTGCTATATAAGCGCCCTGATTGCAATTAGGAATCGTTATTTGATTATCCTCAATTGTGTTCCTCATCCACGTTTCAGTTAAAAAAATTAAATCTGGGCTTATTTGTGATGTGAGAAGTCAATTTCGTCAAT